TTTTGCAGTGGTTGTATAAATGAATTATATCACAACTGGGGCCTGTACGGAAAAGTCCTTCCAAAAAAGGGTCACAAGTAATCCCACTACCTAATCCATCAGGAACACAGTGACAACGGTCTCTCTAGATACTTACTATTACATTTCAAACTGGACAGACTTTAAACTCTCTGTAAAATTACACATCTGCTTATTGTTCAGGGTATTGAAAGAATTTGGGTTGTCTCTGGGTGATCTTCATTGAACACAATCCATTTACACCTCAATTCATGTGCTTCACAACCAAATTTAGCCAGACCTATTGAACTCCTAAACTAAAGGGCAGGTATAAAAAGTATCACATCTCTTTATGTTAATTCAAGGGGGCCAATTTAAAATTACCCAATTTATTTGAATACAACTAAAATCAGCTAGGATTTAAGCTGACAGAGGGGAGGTTTAGATGAGGCATTAGGAAGAAATTCTTCCCTGTGAGGGTGCTGAGGCCCTGGCACAGGGTGCCCAGAGAAGCTGTGGCTGCCCCATCCCTGGCAGTGTTCAAGGCCAGGCTGGACACAGGGGCTTGGAGCAACCTGCTCTAGTGGAAGGTGTCCCTGTCTGTGGCAGCGGTTGGAACTGGATGAGCTTTAAGGTCCCTTCCAATGCAAACCAGTCTGTGATTATACGGTCTTTCAACCATTACACAGCTTTAATGGACACTTTTTCCAGCAGGGACTTACTCTTCACCATCAAAGAAGTCTGAATGTGTTTTTCCCAAGGAAATGGGTTTCCTCACAGTGGGCCATAGCCTTCTGGAATGCATTGCTGAAGATGCCAAAGCGAGGAAATATAGACAGCTTTAATGTCCCCTGTACTCTAGTTCTGCCTTGTAACCCCTTCTACTTTGATAACTGTTTACCCAGGATTTTGGGGTCTCTTTTTTTGTTTTTTCTTTTTAATTCAGGTGGGACATGGTCTAAGGACTTCACAAACCACTCTCTCCAAACGGCCAAAGATAAGGATTTGTAGAGGCCACATACTATGAAAACCAAATAAATCCAGAAATCACTGTCCCCAATTTTCCTACTTCAGAGAAGTTGATTTGGTGACTTCCCTCAATTTAACATATTTGGAAGCAGCAGCAGCAGCTCTGGCTGCTGGAAGCCTAAGGAGACAGTTCCTTCACTAGTCAATGTTCTTCATCTGTTTTGATTTTGTCCATCCCTTCTTCCCCATGCCACTCCAAAGAGACTGCTTCTCCAGCACCCTGACTGCTCCTCCAGCACCATGACCTGCATCAGCCTACCCAAAGGGTGGTTGCTGATAATGCAAATTTGATTGCTCAGGTATTTAAGTGACTGAAATACCAAATTCCAGTGAGGACTGTTGCTAGTAAGCAGCTGGGTTGGGGCTTTGTGTTGAGGGAGCTGGCAAGCTTTCTGTTTGTACATTGCTACCTCACTAGTTTTACATTTGCTCATATACACAAAAAGCTGTTCATGCCCTGCAGCCAAACTGCATTCACTTTGCTTTCCCAAACCTGCCTGAAGCCATGAATTCATGAATAACATAAGGGGGAAGAAAAAAAAGAAAATAAGAACAAGGCATGTGGCTTGTATGATTATCCTGCCGTTTACCTGCCAAATGCCCAAGTTCTAATACACAGACAATCCTTAGCGAATTCATTTCTGAAGCTCATTCACATGTCTCACTGTTACCTATACCTCGATTCTCTTTTTCTAGGTAGCACATACACAACAAACAGCAATTTTACAATGTCCTGTGGCTGTTCTGCCAGCACACACGTTTTACTCACTTGTTGCCACGTTAACCTCAGCCTTTCAAATTGCTCCTTCCCATCTTCTGAGCAATCGGAGCAAGTGAATCTGAAAAAGTTATCTCCTTTGAGGTAGCTGAGCTGTTCTCTCAGTTGACCTAAAATGAAGAGGCAAAAAATCAATTTCTCGATCCTTTTATAGGAAGAAGTGCTGCAGAGGAGATCTGGATTTCCTAGATCAGGCAGAAAAGAACTTTTTTCTTCCAGAGTCCAAAGACCCAGACAGTTCACAGGAAGCATCAGAACTCACTATGACGGATTTATTTCACAGCCACAGCAGCCAGCAGTGACCAACTGAAAAACACAGGCATCAAAAAAGGGGCATTCTACTTAACATCTGAATGCAGGTACAAAGCCAAGGATCTCCTTGTTTCTGATGCATTTCTCTTCCCTGCTTCCCCAGGATAGCCTAGATGTGCCATCCCTGAAGACATTGAAGGCCAGGCTGGATGTGTTTCTGAGCAACCTGATCTAGTTGAAGATGTCCCATTGCAGGGGAGCTGGACTAGAGGAGCTTTGAAGGTCCCTTCTAACACAAACTATTCTATGATTCTACATACGTCAATAAATAGCTGTTTTCCCCCTCTGCTTTAAAAAATTAATAGCTGACCTGTTAAAAACAGTATGTGAGTGCAAAGGCTATCAGAGTATACATGCATTCTCTTCCATGTCATCTTTCCACACACTGCTATGCGTCTTTACAGCTCTCTCAGACTGAGAGCCAAAAGAACAGCCCAACATTATCAGGAAACATTTTCTCTTTACTGCAGTTGATACGTGAGATCCCAAATCAGCAGAGAACTTCAGCACATGCCTTGCTGTGTAAAGCTAACCCTAACAACCCCACACACCCAAAGGTACAGGTATTAATTTGGTGTTTCTGCATTAGAGCAAAAACCACCACCTGAATCAGGACTTTCTCTAACAGGATGACAACTCCTTTACTGTACAACGACATCAGATAGAGCATTTGTAATACACAGATGCTCTGCTTTCACAGTGAATTGCAGAACCTGACAATTAGAGTTGGCCTATATCTGATGGGGGGTAAAAAGCCCACACTGAGTAGATTAACAAAAGTTCCACATGGCAATTAAAAGTAAAAGCAATCATTTGTCTGAGCATGGTGGTGATGTTCACAAGTGACAACTGACACCTGAACAATTAGCAAAGAGAACAGTATTTCCCTTCTCCAGCTCATTTACTTGGCACATTTGTATCTAGTTACCCCTGCTCTGTGACTGGCATTTTCTGCTCTTTGGATTTGTTCCACAGTAATGAGAGAGGAATGCCTTTGCAAAATAAAGCAAAATGAGTGTTAAATCAAGTGCTCCAATGCCACTTTTAATGCTCCTTTTATTAATACATTTCAAGTTAGTATCTCCCTTTAACTGCATACCATCTTAATAGTACGATGCTGGTTTCACTACATTAACATCTAAACATTCACTAACACCCCTTGAGAGGAGACTTTTACAACTGTGATTGTTGGCAAACTCTAAGTTGACAAAAAGGACAGCTCTGACCTAACTGCAAGGCAGGTACCTCCTGAAGAGTTCACTATTTCTAGCCATAAATAAGCCAACCAGCAACCAAAAAATAATAAAACCAACCCCAAACTACCACAAACCCCAGCCAGCACGTACCCATATCCAACTTTTGGAGCTAGTAACAGACCTGATAATCCAGAATTTACAAAGTAAAGTCAGGTCTGTCACGTTCCTAGCTCCTAACAGCATGTATCTTATGTCAAGCAGCAGCAGCAGAGGGATCAAGTTCTGCAGCTTGCTCCAAATGCTCCCAGAGTGACCTGCTACAGGCTGGACACACTTCTGTGAAAGCTACCTTAAATTCACAATATCAGGAAACCATTAAGGTTGAGATTTAGCCATATGCTCTACAGATGTGACAAACTGACCAGAAAAAACACATACAAAACAAACGAGCAAACAAACCAAAAACAACTCACCCATCCCAAAGCCCTTTTCCCCTACAGAGCTTCACAGCGGGGGTCACTATCTGGGTAAGCAGAGGCCAGGGCTAAAGTTCCCTAAACACACCACTGGGAAGTCTTTGGAGAGTGTGCATGTTTCTGAAGTCCTACCCTTGTTCTCTACTAATTAAAGACAATCCCATTTCTTTACATGGAATGCCAGCTCTTGACATGCATGCAGTACGTGGGTTGAAGTGCCTAACACACACTGCTGGCTGGCATCAGGCTGGAAGGGCTCCATACAATGCCAAGAGAGCCTTTCTCAGAGTAACAGCTGTCTTGTTGGCCCCTTTAGGCACTGGAAGCTGCTCTAAGGTCTCCCTGGAGCCTTCCCTTCTCCAGGCTGAACAAGCCCAGCTCTCTCAGCCTGTCTCCAGAGCAGAGCTGCTTCAGCCCTCAGAGCATCTCCATGGCCTCCTCTGGATTTGCTCCATCAGCTCCACATTCCTCTTGTGTTGTTGCCCAAGACCTGGACACAGGACTGCAGGGGGGTCTCACCAGAGCAGAGCACAGGGGGAGAATCCCCTCCCTCCAGCTGCTGGTCATGCTCTGGGGATGCAGCCCAGGACACAGCTGGTTTCTGGTCTGCAAGGGTACACTGCATAACACTGTTTTCCTTCAACATCAGATGAAATGTTTAAAGGATGCCCCATAAAACAGGCATGCAGGACACGGTGCAAATAACCACCACAGCAATGCAAGCAATGTGACACAAAACAATGGGCAAGCTTACTTGCTGGTATCCACTTCTGGCACTTCTCACAGTAATAGGACATCTCCTCCATCCAGGACGTGTCACCTTCATCGCTGTTCAGAGAATCCCCGCTCTGGTCGTGTGATAAATCCACTGAGGCCTGGTCCTCAGACTCAACAATCAGGAGAGTCTCCCCCTCCACCTCACCCTCCTCCAGGCCCTCTGAGGTGGAGGTCCTGGTGGCTTCATCATCATGACGGCTCAGCAGCCCACTCATGTGGACATTATTAGCCATCCTAGATGGTGTTTGTGGGAAGGAACAACTTCTTGTTACGCATTGACCAGTACACCCACACTGGATGTGCCAGCAAAGTCTCCACAGTCAAAGTGCCAATGACAAAGGAAATGTTCTATGACCACACTATAGCTTCCGGGAGTAAATTATAACCTATACAAAAAAACCCAGTCTTCCACAGATTACCTCTGCTTGCCGATCCCCAAACATCTTTAATCAAACCCCTAAGGACTCAGGGCTGTGCCTATGACTGCTGGGACCCTTTTTCAACCAGGGCCTTGTCTCTTTCTTCCATAAGCTGCTTTGTCAAAGCAATCTGCTCTTCCAGGAGGCGAATATTCTCCTTTTTCTGGTGTTGACGCTCAAGATCTTGGAGAACTCCACGGTGCAGCCTCTGCAAACACAAGGGACAGCGTTTATCACAGCCTGTTGGATGCTGAATGTGATTAACTCCCACTCTAACCCCTCCTGCACGGCTGTTCACCATGCTATGCTGCCTTTGCAAGTCCTCTGCCACGACCTGTAGCCACAGCCACTTAACAGGGTTTGAATGTAAAACTATGGGAGCCAATACACAATACCTATCAGCTAATGGTACTAAACCAAAAAGTGCTTTATTTGACCTCATTTCAGATGGGTGGGCATACCAATTGGTAAAGCTATCAAGCAAACAGATGCTATGCACCTGTAATTCCCATGCTATGCAAGATGGACATGATCTATAAACCCCTGTTACCTCTGCCCTAAATCTTCACCAACTCAAGCTGATCTCCCCAGAGCGTCTCCTCTGCTTGGAGACAATTCTGTGGCAAAGTGGAAACTATCTTAAGAAAAACTGCCATGTGGCTTCATCTGCTTCTTCCTGCGCATGCCTCAGTCTTAACAAAAGCACAGAATAGTTAGGGTTGGAAGGGGCCTTAACATCATCAAGTTCCAAACCCCAGTACCTTCCAAATGCCTTGTAAACTCTTGCTGCATGGCTGATCAAAGTCCCACAACCTGCTTATGCCAAGCTCGTGAAAAAGCAAAGCACTACAAGAAAAAAATATCCCCTTTATCCAAAGTGCTGATTAAAAATGACCTGTGCAGTACAGACCATCAGCTCTCAAACCAGTGGGTAAGCACCCCAGTGAGTGTTGAAAGCTCTAAAATCTCAGCTGCTCTTTGCTTTACTCACAGGGTGCCCAGAGAAGCTGTGGCTGCCCCATCCCTGGCAGTGTTCAAGGCCAGGTTGGACACAGGGGCTTGGAGCAACCTGCTCCAGTGGAAGGTGTCCCTGCCCGCGGTAAGGGGTTTGGAACTGGATGAGCTTTAAGCTCCCTCCTAAACCAGTCTGTGCTTCTATGAAGCCGCCCCACCAAGCCCATCAGCCTCACCCCGGAGCTCCCAACCTCCCAAGGGACCACTTGCCACAAGGAGAGAACATGGGAAGAGCAAATGCCAGGGCAGGAAATGGCGAGGAAGGCAAAGGTCGTGGACAGCGAAACACCGGGGGTGAGCTCCGGCAGGGCCCCGCCGTGAGGTAAAGGCCGGGCCGGCCCCAGCGGGAGCAGCGCCTCAGGCACGGCCGGGCCGCCCGCCGCGCTCAGGAGCACGTGCACGTGAGGGCCCGGGGCGTGGCTTAACGGAGAAGGGGGCGTGGTTTACGCGACGGGGCGTGGCTCCACCACACACCTCGGCCCAGGCCGCCAGGTGAGGGGGCGTGGTTATCGCCAAAGGGGCGTGGCCTGGCCTGCGGGGGGACGCGGAGGTGTCCCCGCTTCGTGTCCCCCCCCACCTACCAACGGCGGGCCGCGCACTCACCTCCTGCTCCCGCCGCTGCTGGATGTGCACGGCCACCACGGTGGCGGCGGAGAGCAGCACGGAGACGGCCAGCACCGCTCGGGACCTCCGCGACATCGCGGGCGGAGCGCTCCGCTGCCTGCTGCTCGCCGCGGCGGGAAGGCCCGGCGCGGAGCCGTGGCGGGGGGGGGGTGTGTGAGAGGAGGCGTCCCAGCCGAGCGCCGAGCCAGGCCAGAGCAATCGACCGCCGCTGAGCGGCTGGGCCGAGCGGGGAGGGGGCGGAGCCTCGGCCCGGGGCGGGGTTGGTGGGAGGTGGCCGAACCGGGCGCTCCCGCCGCTCGCGTCGCACGTGGAGCGGCCCCGGCGCTCCGCGGCCTCCCGGTTGGGGCTGAGGGGGTGCCGCGGGGCAGCCCCAGGCCCATGGTGGAAGCAGGTGGCGGCCTGGTGCCGTAGGGCTGAGGCGGCTCCGGGTCGGCGGCCCGTCGGTGGAGACGTGCCTGCTCACGGCAGGGGGTGCGTCTGGATGGGCGCTTGCAACCCAAACCAGCCCGTGGCTCTGTGCTGTAAGCACACCCAGCCTTCACTCACCGACCGACCCCTGTGCTGCGGGCGGGCCGGCTCCCTCCTCACCGCGCCTTTGCCCCATTGACACTGCTATGGGGGAAGAGGCCCCGCGGGCGTGAGGGAGGAGGGCAGCGATGGCTCCCGATGCCTTTCCTCAGGGGGTGTTTGTGGAGCTTCCTGCCGGCGTGCGCTTGCATTTCCAGTGCGGCTGCAGAGCCGAAAAAACAAACAAAAGGGGAAAGAATTCTTCTGAGTTCAAGAAAGATTCCGGTTATTTTTTGTCTTCGCTTTAATTGAGCGGAGACCTCCAGTTCTGCACTTTCCTTGCCCAGAAAACCCACTTTGAACAGATGAAGCAGCTGGAGAAAGCAGCTCTTCAATTGTCTGGTTTCTGCTCATTGTTCAATGTGTGGCCTTAGGCCTCGTGCTTGGCAGTTTTTCGTGCTCTGAAGACAGAATTATTCCTGTCCCCGGGGGTCGTTCCCTGGCACCTCCTCACTGAAGTATCCAAGTGCTTTACAGACAGAGAGGATTTATGTTCCCTGTGCTCCCGTGTGAGGGCAACAGATGGCTATCGTGCATGACTTCGATCCACCACGTTCACATGCACTTCAGGCGTTGGCTGCGGGACTTCAGCCTTTCAGGGCACTCTTACCCTCTAACACATCAAACTTCCCCCTGGCTACTGTGACAGAGGCTCCGGTCACGCTCCCGAGAAGCAGGGAGCTTGTCAGCAGTCACTGTGCTCTGTACCACAGTCACTGTGCTCTGTACCGCAGTCACTGTGCTCTGTACCGCAGTCACTGTGCTCTGTACCGCAGTCACTGTGCTCTGTACCGCAGTCACTGTGCTCTGTACCGCAGTCACTGTGCTCTGTACCACCCGAATGAGCACATCAGCGGTGCAGGAGAGCGACTCTTGTAAATGGATCAGACAAAAGGATGGCTGGTGGGGCAGTGGGATGTGCCACGAGGTCTGTAAAACCCTGAAGGAGGTCAGGCAAGACTCATTCGCCATTTCCCACAGTCCAGGGTGGGTTTGTGGAAGTCCTTGCCCCTGGTGCTACAGAAGCTGAATGTAACCTGCGGATACAGAAGGGATCTGCTCGGATTCCTGGAGTGCCCTGGATGTTGGGATGCTGCTCGTGTCTCAGAAGCTCCTCAAAGCACAAGTGACGAGGGAGGTGGGAGGTTTATTGTGAAAGGGGTAGGTTGGTTCCCAATACATTCCTGTACATTTTTTCCCTCCGAGCATATGCCACAGCTCGCTGCCAGGCAGGACGGTGGGGCACAAGGAGCCTCAACCTCAGCAGGTAGCACAGATCCTGTCTCAAAACCAGGCTTGGATGTTTCCAGAGGAGTTACAGAGCAGTGGGTGCTGTGAGGGGATGGTGGGGTTTGCGTCCCCAGCCCGGACTGGAAGAGGAAAACCAATCGTGTGAAGCTTCTCCCTCCTCATTATAATCTTTTTCATCTTCCTGCTGAATAATCGTGATTAAAATGAAAGACAAAATTAGTGGGAATGATAATATTTCAATTGCGTCTAATAGTTTTGCTCACATCGGTGTGTTTACTGTTATTAAGACTCATGCATAAGTGCTTGTAACACATCCAAGGCTACTGGAGTGCCAAGAACAGAGTTGAGCCAGAGGCAGGCATATGTGAGCCAGCGCAGCGCCCATGGCTCCGTGGAAGGGCGCAGCTCCTCCCAGCTGGAAGCTGAGAGCCTCTACCCAAGGCTGGCATAGATCACTGAAGGACTAAAACCTCATCTGCGGAACGTTCACGCTGTGCTTCCACAGTCTGCAGTTTTTCCCATGGTAGTTGAGGTGTTCCCCCTCGTCCCCCTTCCTCACGAGGGTTAGGTCTTGCTGAAGCACCCTCAGCACAGGAGGGACATGGAGCTGTTGGAGCAAGCCTGGAGGAGGCCATGGAGATGCTCCAAGGACTGCTCTGGAGCCAGGCAGGGAGAGCTGGGCTTGTTCAGCCATTGAGAAGAGAAGGCTCCAGGGAAACCTTAGAGCAGCTTCCAGTGCTTGAAGGGGTGATGAGAAATCTGGAGAGGGGCTTTTGACAAGGGCCTGTAGGGACAGGACAAAGGGGAATGGGTTTAAGATGATAGAGGTGAGACATTAGGAAGTTCTTCCCTCCAGCTGCCAGCTCATGGTGAGTCCCACAGTGGCAGAGCTGGTTGTGGAAGTGCAGGCACTGGTCATCCTGATGCAGCCGCCGCAGCCCCACCGTGAACGTCTCTATCAGATTTGGTGGCAGAAGGTGTGCGTCATGTTATTGGTATTCAAAACATTGGAAAATGCAGAGAGAAAAATGGAAAACAGGTTAAAGTTTCTGTGTGCCTCCTCTATAATTACAAGGTAGGGTCACTGGGGGCTTCCTTGTGTGCAGAGACTCAAAAAATAGTGTAATTAATGAAATATATGTATTACAAATGCCCTCTTTTGGCCAGGTTACTGGAGGGCAGCATCATCCTGAGATGGAGCAAAGAGAAGACCTGGAGGGAGAGGCCTTCCTTTTATTCCCTCGCAAGCAAGGGAAAAGGGAAACTTCCCTTCCCTTTGGCAGGGCAGCCAGCAAAACAGTTGGTTTGGATTTGGATTTCCTGCTTCCAGCGGGGAGGGTGCAGAACCCGGAGGCAGCCGCTATGTGAGAGCTGCTGGCTTTACAGCAGGGCGATGTGTGGTTACAGCTCAGCCAGCCCCACGCCAGCGGGTCACCTCCAGGTGAATAAACCAAGGTGTGGGCTCTGCTGCGGCCTCGTTTCACCCCGGATGGAGGATCGGGATCCTTCCCCAGCACCCTGGGATGGTGGGAAGTGAGGCGGGACATCTAGATGCTGCCTCCGCTTCCAACAGCTCACCCCACTGTTGCCTTACCCATGCCCTTTGGATTGGGATGCCACAGGGGGGTCCCAATGCAGGGAGCTGCAACCCTGCTGTCCCCCGAGCAGGGATGGGCAGTTGAAAGGCAGGCGGAGGCCAAAGTCTACCTACGCGTGGTGAGCACAGGACGCGCACCCAGCCCTTGATCATTATATTGACGGCAATCGCGCAGACCCTTGCCCGCGGAGCAGGAGTGGAGGGCAGAAGTGCTCACATGGGGCGGTTGTTTCTTTTCCTCTGGCAAACATTGTAAAAGGCACTGGGAGATAAAAACCTGTGTGCTGAGCACCCCCCAGAACGCTGGCGGAGTAATTCTGCAAGCAGTGTCCCTGCAGCTTGCATGGCAAAGGTAACCCTGCCCCGGTACCTGCAAGGACGTGCGTGAGGCCCCAGCCCCGTGGGGTGCACCCCTGGCTTCCACTCTCCTAGGGCTCCCTGGGGAGGAGGAGGGCGTCTTTGGGTGCTGAGGCCCTGGCACAGGGTGCCCAGAGAAGCTGTGGCTGCCCCATCCCTGGCAGTGTTCAAGGCCAGGTTGGACGGGGCTTGGAGCAACCTGGTCTAGTGGAAGGTGTCCCTGCCCGTGGAAGGGGGCTGGAACTGGGTGAGCTTTAAGGTCCCTTCCAACCCAAACTGGACTGGGATTCCTGTGCTGCAAGGGTTCGGGGAGAAGAGGGAGTGGGGTTCAGCTGGGTGGGTGTGGAGGGGGCAGAGGCACCCATGCCCCCCCCCCCCCCCTTCACCCCAGCTGTCAAACCGGCGCTGTAGAGAAAGGATCCTGTCTGGAAGCGGCACCACTGAGCTCCCTGGGCAGTTTCATAGGCAGCGGGTGCGTATCCTGATGCTTAACTCACCCTGGGCGTGTTGGAGCACATGCCTGCCCTCATGCACCCGTGGCATCAGGATGGGCAGTGGGAAAAGTCCATCTTTAACACAGCAGTGTTTGAACAGGGACCAGGACATCCTGACCCGTCCTCTGGCCTGGCTTGGTGCAGGCTTGTGCTCAGGCTGGTGCCTATGGCCAAGGCTGTCCTGGTGGTCCTCTCTATTGGACAGGAGCTGTGAGGAATCCAGATGGACCTCACCTTCCCTTTTTACTGTTGCCAAAATCCCCATGGAACTCCGCTCCAGGGCTGCTTAGCCACGGGTGGCAGTGGTGGGACCATCCCCGAGCAACCAACCCGAGACAGTTATTCCTTCCTCCAGCTCATCACTGATCCTCTATGTCTTATCATTGCTCCATCAGGCTGTTAATCATCCCATTATCCCCCAGAGAGGAGAGGGATGGCCGGGACAGCACCCACCACCCAGCCGGGACGTTTTTGAAATGGTAAAGAAATGCGTGAAGCCCTTCTACATACAATGGGTTTATGGCAGCAGTCATCTGCCAGGAATGAGGAAGCCTGGGGGGCCCCACAGGTCCTTGGGGAGGGGACAAAGGACTTTCTACCACCAAAGCTGGAGCTTGGAGGTTGGGGGTATCAGAGCTGGTGGGGCTTGTGGCAGGGGGAGCGCAGCCCCCGGTGGCTTATCAGCCTCTGCCAGCTGCGGCGCAGGGGGGTTTAAAGGCGTTTCGAAAGCGCTGTCGTTATTTTTAGGAACCTGGGAAGCGAGTGCCGGGGTCAGAGCCCAGCTGAGGCTCACACACAGCAGCGGTGCCTGCCTTGTCAGGGAGAGCCTTCCCCCGGCACAAGGCTGTGGTCCCAGTCAGCTAACAGGACAGGCTGGCCTTGCCCAGCAGCCAGGCTTCACATTCCCTGCTTGAGCTCCCCGCCTCTGTGAGCATGTGCAGCACATCCTGATGTGATGTGCATCCTGACAGCGACACATCCCAATAGCAGTGCAGCGCGTCCTGGTTGCAGGGCATCCCAATGGCAGTGCATCCTTATATGCAGTGCATCCCAATAGCAATGCATCCTGGTGTGCAGTGTGCATCCTGAAAGCAATGCGTCTCAGTGGCAGTGCATCCTGATGGCAGCACAGCCAAATGTCAGTGCTTCCCAACAGCAATGCATCCTGACAGCAGTGCACCTCAATTGCAATGCATCCCAATGGCAGCACATCCTGACATACGGTGCATCCTGATGGCAAGGAAAATGTGTCTTTTCCAGGGCAATGCTTCCTGTTTGCATGGATCATGCCACTGAAGCAGGCACCAGCTGGGCAGTGAAATGGAAACACGTTGATGCTGGAAGCAGAGCATCACGCGATAGAAGGCACACAGCTCTCAGGGATGAAATCAGGGCATGGGGTTCTGGCCTTCCAGTACCTGGGGCCCTCTTGGGAAATGGAGTCGGGCTCAGACAGGGAAGCTGCTCATCTCCACAGGTATCAGCACCTGCCTGGCCAAAGCTTTCCATGAGTTCCTGTGAGGGAGAGCCCCAGATCCAAACCACCAGTCAAAAAGGGTGAATGGTTCCTGTCCCGTTCTTTCACTGCCCGCACAGCTGCTGGGTTTGGTGCAGAGAGAGGTGTCTCTTGTGGTAACATCAGAGGAACCCCGGGGACCGAGGACCACTGCCAGTGAGTGGCTGCTGGAGGCGATGTGGCTTCTTCTTCCCTGTGAGGGTGCTGAGGCCCTGGCACAGGGTGCCCAGAGAAGCTGTGGCTGCCCCATCCCTGGCAGTGTTCAAGGCCAGGTTGGATGGGGCTTGGAGCAACCTGGTCTAGTGGAAGGTGTCCCTGCCTGTGGCAGGGGGTTGGAACTGGGTGAGCTTTTTCCAACCCAAATCACCCTATGATTCCATGATTTTGGATCTGCCGTCAGATCCTATGTGGATTTACTGGTGTCTAATAAAGGTTGTGTGCATGGTGTATTTTTAAGCACAGCAGGAGCATTAAGAGGGAGTAGCTTTCTGTCCTCTATTTAGCTGCTGATTTGCAGGAAACTCCTGGGATTTCACCACCTTTGCAACCTCTGCTGCTACATCAGGCTTGGCAGGAACACACCCAACTTCCCAGGGAGGAATCACCGGGCAGACAGCGGGATCACGGGAAACCAAGTGACAAGGAAAAGTTGGGCGGTGCAGGCAGAGCCGGGGAAGGTGCTTCGGGGGCCTCCAAAGCCGAGTGCTCCTGTGGTTGTGTTTCTATGGCAGAGTCTGCGATCTCAGGGCTCTGCTCATGAGGGAGGACACCTCTCCAAAGGGGTCACCCTGTACTCCATGTGCTGTGGGCGTGGGGTGCACAAGGTCCTTGGGCACCCTCTTCCCCCAAGCCTCAGGGCTGCGGGTGCCACCGAGGAGGATGCTTTGGGGATGCTGCTGGGGTCAGGCACCCGGCACGGGCTCCGTGGTGGTGCCTGGGAGCCATTTCCATGGGGAGCGGCCGGGCAGCCCGGGGTGACGCCGGGCGCCCCGAGGGAGCGGAGCCGCAGCGAGTGGGTGGCTGCGGAGACAGCGCCGAGCCGGCGGAGCGGAGCGGAGCGGAGCCGGGGGGAAGCGGAGGTATCGGTGGAGAAAGACAGGGAGACGCTGGGAGTGGCAGGGGCCGTGGGAGGCAGGGAGACAGAGCCCGGTGAGTCAGCGCGGTGGGTGCTGTGAAGCACAGGCAGGGCAGGTTCTGCCGCAGCCTGCGGAGCCCTCGTCCCCCGGCCGGCACCTTCTCCATCCCTCCTCACCAGGGCTGCTTGAGGAGCCGCTGCTCGCTCCTGCTGAGATAAAGCTGGCGTGGAGCCACGCTGGCTGCATCCACTGCGGTCAGGTAGTTCCTCATCGGACCTGGGAGCTGCCAAAACCTGGCTTGAAGCAGAGCTGTCTGGTGCCCGGGCTTGACCCCATGGCTGGTGGCACAGGGCGGTGTTGCAGGAGTGACCAGGGCGGTAGCTCTGCTCTGGCAGCCTGTGCCACCACAGTGATGCTCACCCACCCCCCCCACCCCACCCCCCGACCTCTGTAGCACCGTGGGCCAGTGCTCACCCAAACATTGCCACTGGAGATGCCATGCTTCCAGCGGGAATCTGCCCTCAGAGGCAACAGCACCCCTTACAGCAACACAGTGCTTCAGGTGTGCGATGGGGCGCAGGACAGGGTGAGGGAACCACAGAACCGTAGAATCAGTGAGGCTGGAAAAGACCCTCAAGCTCATCCAGTCCAACCATTCCCCAGCACTGCCAAGGCCACCACTAAAGCAGGTCACTGAGGGCCTCATCTACACAGGCTGTGGACACTTCCAGGGATGGTGATTCCCCTGGGAGCACGTTGGCTCCTTGCAGGTTGATGCTGAGCTGTGAGACCAAGGGCAGGCATCCAGGTGGAAGGAAAGTTGGAGCTCTTCTCTTCCCTTCCCTTCCCTTCCCTTCCCTTCCCTTCCCTTCCCTTCCCTTCCCTTCCCTTCCCTTCCCTTCCCTTCCCTTCCCTTCCCTTCCCTTCCCTTCCCTTCCCTTCCCCTTCCCTTCCCTTCCCTTCCCTTCCCTTCCCTTCCCTTCCCCCTTCCCTTTTCCCTCCCTTCCCTCCTTCCCTCCTCCCTCCTCTCCTCTCCTCTCCCTTCCTCTCCTCTCCTCTCCTCTCCTCTCCTCTCCTCTCCTCTCCTCTCCTCTCCTCTCCTCTCCTCTCCTCTCCTCTCCTCTCCTCTCCTCTCCTCTCCTCTCCTCTCCTCTCCTCTCCTCTCCTCTCCTCTCCTCTCCTCTCCTCTCCTTCCCTCTTCTCCAGTTCCTTCCCTCATCCCTACACCCACCTCCTTGCCCCTAAGCACCTTCTATGTGCTATATGGACAGGGAAGAGGTTGGCAGTGAGAGGGTGTCCTCCCAAAGGGACAAGTCCCCCCGGCCCCATCAATCTGCTCCCCTGCGGGGTTAGTTTTGGGAAGGAGCTGGGTGCGATTGCGACAGCGACACATGGCTGATTCATTGTTTGATCCAATCTCTCCCTCCTCATTCCCAAATGATTCGAGTCAAATGAAACATATTTTAGTAGCCCAATCTGTAAGGGTGGGTCCCATTGTGCTCTGACCCTACAGGGCATTTTGTACATTTAATTTGATTTACACCCCAAACGTACTGGGATTCTCTCCCACACCCAACTAATGCTGAAAATTAAACAAGATCCTACAGCAAGGTCGGGTGCCATTATCTCCTTAGTGTTGTTATTTATTGAGCAATGATGGTGCTCAAGCTCTGTGTACAGTGTTGCTCCTGTGGGTGTATGGAGAAGGCCGAGGGCTGCCCCAGTGACGTGTCCACGGGCTGAAGACGATGCGGTGCTGCATGTGGGGCCAGGCTGTGAGCGTGCTCTTCCTGGTTGCAAACACCAAGGAGTGGTATTCTTAGGTGAGGCGTTACGGTTTTCTTCTGGGCTATGGTGAAGCAACACCAAGACTTGGTCACTGGTCTGCATTTCCACCCTCTAGCTCAAGAGGAAGGCAGCCCGCTGCCGATGAGATGCTCTACTTCATGCTGCTGGGGGTGCTTCGGGTCTTTCTCTCCCCCCTGTGCCTCTGAGGGCGCTGGGCACACCACAGCCCTGACCACTCGTGTCAAGGCTCCAGAGCTGATAATAACAATGATCATTTAGTTCCTGATTCAGCCGTGCTTGTAAGTGCATGTCTGGGTTGGAGCACTCAGAGTGAAGCGTGTGCTCCAGGACCTCGCTAAACGGGAACCTCAAAGCAGGATTTGAAAAAGCCCAGACGACATTAAAGCGGTCACAGCAAGCTCTTGGTTCGGGAGAGTTGTGATTGATGTCGTTTGCTACCTCTTTTGGCTTAAAAGACAAGGAGTGGTTAAAATGAAAGAAAAACCTCAAGTTGAAAGCATTGCAAAAAAATAAATAAATAAAAAATATCAATTAAACCCCATGTAGCTGCATTTTGACCTGGAGCAAATTCTCAGACATAACAGAGAAATTGCATAGCCTTAAAGAGAGAGAAAGGCAGAGAAGGTTTTACCTGTGGTACTGCTGAGGTATTGCCCAGAGGCAGCTGAGGTGGCTTCTCACCTGGTACCTGCTGAGAGGTTGCCCAGAGAAGCTGTGGCTGCCCCATCCCTGGCAGTGTTCAAGACCAGGTTGGACACAGGGGCTTGGAGCAACCTGCTCTAGTGGAAGGTGTCCCTGCCTGTGGCAGGGGGTTGGAACTGGATGAGCTTTAAGGTCCCTTCAAACCCAAACCAGTCTGGGGTGGAGCAGCCACAGCTTCCTTGGGCGCCCTGTGCCAGGGCCTCAGCACCCTCACAGGGAGGAATTTCTTCCTAATGTCTCATCTCACTCTCCCCTCTGTCAGGTTAAAGCCATTCCCCCTTGTCCTGTCCCTACAAGCCCTTGTCAAAAGCCCCTCTCCAGGTTTCTTGTGGCCCCTTTAGGCACTGAAGACTGTTATAAGGTCTCCCCTGTGCCTTCCAACTCCTTCATGTGGGGTGACAGCTCTTGGTGCTCAGTCCCAGTGCTGTGCACAGCTGCTACAGTAAGGATGTGCTGGGGATGAAGGCACCGAGAGCATTTCCACTGCATTTAGTGATAAAAGCAGACTGAAGAGTAGGTGTGAGGCAGGAGAAGGGACCCCGGGCACTGTTTAAGCCGTGGGGACGTGCCATGTGCTGTGCTCAGAGGCTTGCAGTGCACTTTTGTGGGTTTTCTTCTGTTTCTCTTGCTTCCTTCCCCTCCACCCCGTCCATCGTCTCGTCTTTTGTTTCATTTCCACTTCGGGAAGAGGGGAGAAGACAAGAAGCAAATTAGAAAGAAAAAGAAAGGGGGGTGTGATGGCTGAGGCACGTTTTTCATTTCAGATCAATGACCGAAGCAGAATAAAGCGCTGGGTTTTTTAACAGCACAAAGCCTTGTCCTGAAGGAAAGTCACAATCAACCAACTTTCTCTGCCCGACAGCTTCGGCTTCTCCCATGTGCCTCGGGGATCCTTTCCCGTGCTGGGGGTCCCCCTGTGCACCCCGGCAGCAGCGGCGCTGCCCTCCTCGCTTCCCTCTTTTTAATTTCCAGACGTTAAATTCTTCTGCAAACATTCATGCCTTAGGAAGGGCTGGAACAAAGCTCAGCTGCTCCAACCGGTCGGACAGGTAAGCAGACTTGTTGACACCGTTATGTTGGCAGCACGCATGCTCCTGCCCAAGTTTCCTGGTGCATTTTTCTATTCCACCTTATGAAACTTGCCCCCCCCCCCCCCCTCCTTCACCCCCCCTTTCTCTTCCCCCTTCCCCTCCCCTTCCCCTCCCCGCTCCTCAGCGGCTCTGCCCCGGTGCGTGCGGTCCCGCTCCCCGCGGACGGGCGGGCGGTGGGAGCCGCTCCGCTCCATTCCGAGCCGACCCCCCTGCCCTCGCCATGCCCAGAGCCTTCCTGGTGAAGCGCCGGAGCCCGCAGCCGGCGGTGCGCAGTTGGGATGGGCTGCCCGACGAGGAGAGAGCCGACACCTACATCCCAGGTACGGCACCGGCGGGGCCCCTCGCCGCCACTGCCTGGAGGATGGGGGGACGGAACACACCGAGGGGAGGGATGGGGGGTCCCCGCCAGACCCCAGCCCTAGCCCCGCTCCCCCGCGGGTTGGGAAGGGGCTGGGGGAGCCCCGAGGGGGGTTGTGGGGAAGGTCCGGGGGCACCCTCCGTGCCCAGCCGCGGGGGTGATGGGTGCCGGGGGCCGGCTCCATGCCCGCTATCATCTCCCACCCGGAGAGCCCCCGGGCGTTGGGGGTGTCTGTGTGTGTGTCCGGGAAGGTGGGAAAGCTCGTTTGCATGAGAAAGGTGGCGGGGGGGTGGAGGGAGAGGAGCAGAAGAAAGGTCCTGGGGTAGGGGGTGATGGTTTCCCCCTCCTCCTCCTTCTTCTTCTCCTCCTCCTCTTGCCCTTGCCTGGGGTATAACGGGAAGGCGGCGGAGCTGGCTTGTTTGAACTTTGGGACCGTTCGTGTTTGAGTTTCCGATTGCAGCGGGAGCCGGGGATCCTCCCCCGCCGCCCGGGCCCGCCCGCAGGTTAAACACCGGCGCCCGGCGGCTCCGTGGTGTCCGTCCCCCCACCCCGTATTTCCCCCTTCCCCCCCATAATGTCCTCACCGCATCCCCCGCTGCAGGCGGCATCGGCTGCGTGCTGCTGGGCTACGAGGACAGCTGCAGCCTGGAGAGCAGCGGGAGCAGCGGCACTCGGGACGCGGAGCCCAGCGATCCCCCGACGCCACAGCCCGTCCCCGGCGACCTGGGCACGGCCGGGGGGATGCTGCTGGACCTGGCCGTCAAGCGCCCCATGGCCAGGTCGAAAATCAAGGTAACCAGGCACCATCTCCTCCCCGCTTCAAGGGCTGGGGACGCCGGGTGGCAACAGTCCCTTGGGCTCCCTCTGCTCTAGAGGTGACAGCACCCGTGCCACACACCGTAGGGTGGCAGGACAAGCCTCATGAGCGATGTACCGTCATCTTCCAGTGCCCTTTGCCTTTCCTTATATCCCTGCCTGGGACATGTTGCCCCTGACCTGCTTGGCTTGGGTCCCGCAGGAGCTCTGAACCCATCCAGGAAGGACCAGCCCTGGCAGCTGGGAGTCCTGCCCCACGGCGCCTGGGTGGATTGCACTCCTTCACGTGGGGCCTCCTTAAACGGCCGCCTAGGAGGTTGTAGTCAGGCCTTAATCTTCCCGCTGTCCCCCTACCCTCTTGGCTTGTCAAGATAGCAGCTAGGAAAAGGTCCTGCCCTGAAGCTGGGAAAGGCCATTGCCACCTTGAGGTGGGCCCGCAGGCTGGGTGAAGTGAAGCAATTAGCTGTCCATTAACTCTGCTGCAGAACCTCCCTGCTGCATGGGCAGGGGCTCTTGCTGTCTGGGTGTCCCCTGGGCAGAGTCAGCAAGAGTGGTGATTTCCCTTCGCAGGCTGGGAAGGCAAATCATAACCTGGTTTGGGTTGAAGGGACCTTAAAGCTCATCCAGTTCCAACCCCTGCCATGGGCAGGGACACCTTCCACTAGAGCAGGTTGCTCCAAGCCTGTGTCCAGCCCGGCCTTGAACACTGCCAGGGATGGGGCAGCCACAGCTTCTCTGGGCACCCTGTGCCAGGGCCTCAGCACCCTCACAGGGAAGAATTTCTTCCTAATGTCTCATCTCAATCTCCCCTCTGTCAGGTTAAAGCCATTCCCCCTTGTCCTGTCCCTACAGGCCCTTGTCAAAAGCCCCTCTCCAGACTCAAATCCCTCCTGATACCCCAGACCGAGTTCCCAAAGTGCAGTAGTGATGCAGGTAGGGTGGAAGGACCACTGTCCTTCTCTTGAACATCCTGAGCAGAGGCCAACCCCGTGCTAAGAAGGAGACATGTTTGCCTGTGGCTAGTTAACACCTTGTTAAAACCCTGGCTGTTGCTTTGCTGGATGGCACTGTAAAGATTCCCACTGTTTCTGCTGGGATGACAGGCCTGTAGCCACCCTGTTATTAGTATAATGATTAAAACTAGGTTTTCACCCTAGTTGTATGTGGCCACTTGAGATGGAGCCCTACCTGTTGCCCAACAGATACTTCCCAGCTGCTCCCCCTCTGGTTTCACACCTTGTGGTTTCACGGCTGACTTCTTTCTCTAACCTTTACAATTTCAAGTAGCGTTGCTTTGGTAGTAAGCGGAGGAGGAGGATCAGGAAAAATAACTGGCTCTTCAGGAAAGAGAAACCCCAAACGTATTCCTTTGGGAAGAGCCTTAACCTATAATTTAACCTGGGCTATTAACTGTCACAGCGAAACCTCGTTTTGGCAGAGTTGGGTGTTCTCAGCGTGCCACAGAAACTCCCCAAACACACCACGAGGGCCAATGGACGCGTGCGCGTGGTGCTGTGCTCTGGTGGCTGCCCATATCCTGAGCACGTCCGCTCCTCCTCGAGTAATTAAACTAATAGCCAAGTATTTGCATCGTCGAGACATTAAGCCTTCCGTCTGAGGAACGCTCTTCCCAAGAGCTGAATCATCAGTGTCTCCCTTAGTCAAGTTAGGTCACGGTGTTGGTGCAATATATTTTGGTGTCAGGAGCGGGAATGAGGAGAGTAACCCCTAATGACACTCTGCTGTTAAGTAACGAGACTAACGGGAGGAGGTTAATCATAGAATCATGGAATGGTTTGGGTTGGAAGGGACCTTAAAGTTTATGGATACAGTTGGACAAGGGTGCCTGCTCCTAGGAGGTAGCCACTACATAGGCTTTGCTTTAGCGTTAGTCCCAAACCGTGCACTATATGTCACCTGCTTGATCTCAAGGGAAGCATGAAGGTTTCACCCAGCAAGAGTCTCCGAATGCTTTCACTTTTCATTTTGAATACATCCCAAGAATATCTTAATGCCTCAATAAGTCATCCCTCCTTGTTTTGCTTGTTGCCTGCTGGTCTTTGCCATCTCGATGCCCACTCACCCCGACCTCTCCCATTCCTTAGTTCACCACCGGCACCTGTAACGATGCTATGGTGCATAGCTGCGAGCTGTGTGGCAAAGGCTTTCGCCTGCAGAGGATGCTCAACCGTCACATCAAGTGTCACAGCCAGGTGAAGAGGCACTTGTGCACCTTCTGTGGGAAAGGCTTCAATGACACCTTCGATCTGAAAAGACATGTCCGGACCCACACTGGTGAGAACGCGTTCCCAGGGCGGGGTTGTGGGCAGCTCTGGGTAGTGGGAGGTGGGAGAAGCCTGAGGTGGGATGAGGAGAGGGTGAGGGTAACCCAGCAAGACAGTAATACATTAGCAAAGAATAGAGGGGATGTAGTGGAGGAAAGGGAAAGATATGGGTGTGGACAGATGTAAGTCCTGGGACTAATGAAGTCCGAGGACTTCTCTGAATCATAGAATCGCAGACTGGTTTGGGTTGGAAGGGACCTTAAAGCTCATCCAGTTCCAACCCCCGCCACAGGCAGGGACATCTTCCACTAGAGCAGGTTGCTCCAAGCCCCTGTGTCCAACCTGGCCTTGAACACTGCCAGGGATGGGGCAGCCACAGCTTCTCTGGGCACCCTGTGCCAGGGCCTCAGCACCCTCACAGGGAAGAATTTCTTCCTAATGCCTCACCTTAATCTCTCCTCTGTCAGATTAAAGCCATTAATGAAATCCGTGTGAGGCAGTGTGGGTGCCTGAGCTGCCATCCAGATGTGTTGTAGATGCAGCTGTATGCTGCTGCTGTGCTGGTCAGCGAGACCAGGTTAACACTCCCGATATAACCCACTGGGTTAACTCACCGTATGTTATTGCAAGTCCAGCCTGCAGCGCTGAGCAGAGGCGGGCGGTGCATGAAAATGCTTTGCCCTCTAGAGGCAATGAGCAGCAGTTTCTTGGGGTTTTGCTCTTGGGAAGCTTCCCTGAATGCTGTCCGGCAGGATGGGGTTAGGGCTTGATTTTGGCACCAGCTAAAGGAACCGGAGTGTGGCTCATGCTGTACCTCCAGCTTCTTTAGGGCAACCAGGCACATCTGACTTGTGCATCCTCCATGCTTCGGGCTACCAGCTCATCCAGTCCTTTCTCAGAGCTGTTTCCCTCTGCAGATCTAGCCATCCAGATTTGTTTGACCACTGGCCTAAACCATCTCCACCACATTTCCTGGGCAGGTTCCAACTTGCCAGGTCTGTGGTTACCTGCTGGTTATTTGGGCTTGCTCTGCAATGCCTGTATTTTGGCTTAGGCACCATCAACGAGGCAAACTGCTGGAGATGACACAAGTATTTTGTCATAGAATCCAAGACTGATTTGCATTGGAAGGGACCTTAAAGCTCATCCAGTTCCAACCCCCTGCCATGGGCAGGGACACCTTCCACTGGACCAGGTTGCTCCAAGCCCCGTCCAACCTGGCCTTGAACACTGCCAGGGATGGGGCAGCCACAGCTTCTCTGGGCACCCTGTGCCAGGGCCTCAGCACCCTCACAGGGAAGAATTTCTTCCTAATGTCTCATCTCAATTTCCGCTCTGCCAGGTTAAAGCCATTCCCCCTTGTCCTGTTCTACAGGCCCTTGTCAAAAGCTCCTATTCAGAGTTCTTGTTGGCCCCTTTAAGCACTGGAAGCTGCTCTAAGGTCTCCCCTTAAGGAGCCTTCTCTTCCCCAGGCTGAACAAGCCCAGCTCTCTCAGCCTGTCTGCATAGCAGAGCCGCTCCAGCCCTCAGAGTATCTCCATGGCCTCCTCTGGACTTGTTCCAAGAGCTCCATGTCTCTCTTGTGTTTGGGGCCCTGGAGCTGCACACAGGACTGCAGGTGGAGGTCTCACCAGAGCAAAGGGGGAGAATCCCCACCCTCGGCCTGCTGGTCACGCTCTGGGGATGCAGCCCAGCATATGGGTGGCCTGTGTTGCTTGGCAGGAACTGTTTCTTAGCAGTAGAGCTCATGAAGGCAATGCCACTGGTTTTGATGGGAAAGCACTGGCTGCAGCACATGTTTTATGCTGGTTTGGTTTGTTTGCAAATCTGTCATGTCCAAAGGAAAGCTGCTGTTGCAGCAGGGAGCTGCTGCTGGGGTACACCTGAAATGTGGAGTTGGTGCTTCTAAAGTGAGTTTTCAACCTGTTCCCTCATCCTTCGCAATTCAGGAATCCCAGAGAATTTGCCTGGTTCGTTGGGTCATGAGGGAGTGAAGGCTTGGCTGCTGCAGCAGTACCAGTGATGTATTGGATGTATCTTTCCCAGGGTGAAATATGGCACCTCTTAAAGTGGTGTGGCTCTGTTTTTAGTTCAAAGTTGATTGCTGTTCAGGAAAGCTGGACAGTATTTGAACATGAAAAAGCAGACAGGCTGAAAGTGGTAGGGCAGGCTTTATTTTGTAGCTACAGGCACTCATCTACGTGTGCTCTGAATTCCAGGGGAAATTATTATGCAGTTTGTAACCAGACTGTGCAACAGCATCAGAGAGTGGAAGCCAAGCTTCCCAGTCTAGCCTCATGGTAAAAGCAGACTCAAACATTGAAAAGTAATTAATATACACAGTAAAATAAAGGTTTAAAATGATAAAAGTAATGATGAGGTTCCCACAGCCCTCTTGTGCTTGTATTCATGCTTGTGGAGCTCTGTTGGCAGCAGGAACCAAGGACAGTGGTTCAACTTGCCTTCGGATGAGCATGGAACTGCTCCCAAAATACTGTTTGTAAAAGAGGCATTTTTGTGTGTGAATTCTAATGAAGATTGGGAGTTTCTTTCCAACTGCATTTTGATGTGATTGAAGCAGTCTCACAGCAGTAGGCATTATAAAACTTTAATCCTGATATTTTAAGCTGGTGCAATGGGATAATTGCAGTTGAGATGCTGCTTGCTGGAACCTCTAGTTTGGATTTCTGATTGGAATCTCAGCGACAGATTGGTGACCTTAACACAGTGTGATTAGAACGTTACATCTGTCAGCATGGGTGTGTGTGCTTTGCCCTTTCTTGCCTGGCTCATTGTAGGGCCGATCTTCCACATGCTTGTCTCACCTTTCATTGGGAAAAGAGTTCAGGTAACTCCTTGCATCAGTTTTAAGGCTGGCCTTTGCTTGCAAACTCACTGGGCTAGTCCTGTAAGTCAAATGACAACTGGTTTTGTTTTTTAAAGTGTTGCTAAGCCCTCAGTTGTTTGTCATTCAAGTACTGGGGGTTGCTCTTAAATCATGTTGGTTGGTGGTAAATGGGTACTCTACTGCTCAGTCTTTTTGTAATGTTGGTTGTCTGTACTCAACAAAACTCCTTGGACATTCAAATCGCAAGCCAGCCCCTTCTCCCTCTTCTGGAGACACACACATATTTCTTCTCTCTCAATGCACTTCTCATCTGGAACTTGAGCTTGTCATTTCAGTCATCAAATCCATGTGCTACGAAAACACTCATTTTAAGTACTAAGATTGCTGCGTGTTCACGTTGGGCTGCCCTTCACTGAGGCTTGGTCACTAAAAGAGGAAAATTAACATCTCACTGAGATACTGTGTTCATTATAAAGCCAGACTGAAAGGCTAGCTGAACTGATGGTTTTACGTGATGACAGGACTTCAGAAAGTCGAGTCTAAAGGAGCCAGTTTTGCAGGAGTTGATAACAATTTCTTCTTAGGAGCAAGTGCTTATGGGCACCTGCTGTCCTCAGTGTTTGCCTATACCTGCTCCAAGCTTTTTGAGGTTTTCTATGCCTAAACACATCAACCCGTTCCTGACAGTTTTAGTCTGAAAGTAACATATTTTATTTGGACAGAGAGTTCCTCAGGCTAGTAGCTCCCTGCTGGTAGGTATTTGCTCAATACCACAGAATCAAGAAGGTTAGAAAGACCTTTAAGATCAACCATTCCTCAGCACTGCCAAGGCCACCACTAAACCGTGTCACTAAGGGGCTCGTCTACATGGTTTGTGAACTATGGACAGTGATTCCACCATTGCCTTGGGCAGCCTGTTCCAATGCCTGACTGCCCTTTTGGGGAAGAAATTGTTCCTAATATCCTCATATCTAGTCTAAACCTCCCCTGGTGCACCTTGAGGCTGTTTTCTCTTGTCCTGTCCCTTGTTCCTTGGGAGAACAGCCATCTCCTGGCTCCATTGTCCTTTCAGGTAGTTGTAGAGTAAATATTGGCTCAATATGGTGAGTGAGCCAATAGGTTCAATGAGTACTGAGTTCAATTGGTTCAATGCCAGAGCCTTTTTCTCAGCTGGTTGCTCACTTGGTTTTAAGAAACATAAATCAGAATGCTAACCTCTGTCTCTTAACGTTGCAGGGATTCGTCCTTACAAGTGTGAGGTTTGCAACAAAGCCTTCACCCAGCGCTGCTCCCTGGAGTCCCACCTGAAGAAGATCCACGGTGTGCAGCAGCAATATGCCTACAAACAGAGGCGAGATAAACTTTATGTGTGTGAAGACTGCGGCTACACGGGCCCCACGCAGGAGGACCTGTACCTGCACATTAGCAACGTGCATCCTGGAAGCGCCTTCCTGAAAAAGACCTCAAAAAAACTGGCAGCCGTGTTGCAAAACAAACTGAGCCCCGTCTTGCAGAGGAACTCCAAAGATGATGACAAAGATGAGTAACGCAATGGATTACAGTGGTCTACAGGAATGAAGTTTACATGTAGGACTATATATATATATTATTTTTTTAAAACAATTTGGAAAGGAATCCCTGAGATGAAAGGGATGCTTTTGCTAACGGGGCTGTCTTGATGTTGGTAGAACCTCAACTTGAAAGAAATACTCCCCTATACGATGTGAACATCGGACGTTTTTATCTGGCCAAAGGAAATGGGAAGCTTGGAAGAGGCTGTCACCTCTTGGATGGAGTATTTTCTGAATTGAACCAGGCAACCTGTCTTCTGTTTTGATTCTACCACACATCCAAGAGGCCACTGACAAATAATTTGCCTTTACCCAGTGTATTTTGTAAAAATAATAACCATTACCTCCTGTGCAAATGACTTCTGAGTTTTGAGTGAAAAGTGCCGTGTAAGTACAGCTACTCACGCATTGTTCTATGCAAAGTTAATTAAAATGGTCTTAAGGAGTGCATTGTATGGGTAAATAGTTAAAATGTGCAAATAACCATAACCCTGCCCTGTGCAGAACACTAATGATTTATGGAAGGGTGATCCAAAGTAAGCTGGAACTTCTTTTAAAGGATGCAGAGCTTTTTCCTCCCAAACTTTCTCCACTGGCAAATTACATTATCCCAGGACAGACTTACAGTCAAGCTTGAGGTACCTGAAACTGTGAACTTACTTTTCTAATGTTTAGATTTAAGTGTAACCGTAACTCTGATGTTCCTGGACTTCTCACGCTCACTTTGGGGGGCTATTCCCACATCCTTTTAACATACATCAATATCACTCAGAAACCCAAAGAGAACACTTTAATGACTTAAAGATTTGTATTTTCTGTTGTGATGAAACGCAGTTTTGCATGTATTTTATGGTGTATATGTGCATGAGTGTGTGCTTGGGGAGTTTTCTTTCTTTTCTCTGACCAAGTGCCTGTTCACTAACAGGAGCAGTGCAATGCAGTGAAAAGGGCGGCTTGGCCTCTCTCTGCCTCATGAGATCAGCTGTAGGCAGGAATCTGACCTCTCATCTGTAACCATCATCAGTTTACAAGGCTCCTAGAAAGGTTGATGCTACAAGGGATGGAGACCGTGGGGATAATGAGGGACCTGTATTACATCTCTACGCTTTTAGAGCTCCCCTATGGTCCTGCTCCAGCTGCTCTGGGACAACCAAGCAGGTAGCCTATAGGGACTATCGAGTGTGAAATTATGGATTTAAAAATAGAGGAGAGGGATGTCCACATAACTTACGTTGCCTGACACTTTAAAGCTCTTCAGAAGCTGCTGCAGCCTTTACTGAGCACTTGGGTGAGCCCACCACAAGGTTCTCTGGTCCAAGCACATTATGCATGTGTCTCTTAATGGACACAGCTGCTAAAAAGGTTTTACATCAATTTAAATGCCTATCAATGAATGGATTTCATTTGTAAAGTCCTCAAATCCATTTTGTGCTCAAAATAAAGCTGTACGTTGGGGGAGGACATGCTGCATTCTCCAGATGTTGAAACAAGAGCTAAAAAGCAACCCACCTAAAACAAGAGTCACAGCCAGGACCTTTGTAGTCTTTGCTACTAAAATGATTATTAACATTTCTGCAAGAACCATAAAAATCTTCTCAACTGCCTCAGTTTTGCACAGGCATCTGCTTGGGGTTTTGTGGGGACAAAGCTTCTAGCGGTTTTTAAAGCATTTCTAATGCTATCAATATTTTATTCAGCACAACTGTTGGTGCATAGGACCTTGAAAACAAGGATAGTAAAGTGATGCTACTTTGTAATAAACAAACTTGTCATCCTGTTTCATGGGAAAATCAGCAGGATACTTTAATAAATGGGAAGTCCATGGAAAAAAAAAGCATCTGAGCTAAATTGTTCAGCCTGGAGAAGGCTTTGGGGAGACCTTACAGCAGCTTCCAGTGCCTAAAAGGGTGACCAAGAATCTGGAGAGGGGCTTTTGACAAGGGCCTGTAGGGACAGGACAAGGGGCAATGGCTTTAACCTGACAGAGGGAAGATTTAGATGAGACATTAGGAAGAAATTCTTCCCTGTGAGGGTGCTGAGGTGATGGCACAGCGTGCCCAAAGAAGCTGTGGTTGCCCTATCCCTGGCAGTGTTCAAGGCCAGGTTGGACAGGGCTTGGCGCAACCTGGTCTAGTGGAAGGTGTCCCTACCCATGGCAGGCAGTTGGAACTGGATGAGCTTTAACGTCCCTTCAACCCAAACCAGTCTGGGATTCTATGATTCACCTGACTGCAAAGGATGCATGTGCTTAGCTCTGCTGAAACCTCAGCTTTTTCACTGGAGCAGTGGAGGTGCAGCTGAAGCCCTCCCTGTCTAACTGGGGATGCATTTATATGTGCGTGTGTGTGTTTTTCTTTTCCTCCTGTAGCAGACATTGCTTCTGATTTCCCTCCAGTGTCACTGCCAAAGCATGTCCCTGCTAAAAGAACTACAGCCACCATGAGGTGGCCCATCTATGTGATCTAAGCCAAAGAAAACATGCACAGCAGCAGAGAAAGCAGCAGGTAAAAGTACACAGAATTAAAGCCACACTAGATGGAGAGCAGAGCTCTGACAAGCAGGATGCTGTAAGCTGGACTAACTGCCCTGATGGGCTGTTTTTTTTCTGCGGAGGACAGTCACTGCCTGTAGCAGATGCCTTGGGCATGTCAATTTAACAGTCTGGCAAGTTAGTTCAAACTGGTCACAAAGTGGCTTGATTTTGCATGACGCTGGCAACAGCCATCTGCCAGTTCTGTTATGGGGCAAAACTGGTACAAGCGTGTGACTCCCCAGAGATGCTCCAGAGCTCACACAGGGACGCCCAAGGCAGACACTTTCAGAAGTGCCAGACATAAGTAACATCCACCACTGTCTTTGAAGCCTGTCTGCCTTCTCTGGGCTCTCTGATGGTACAGACTCACCCAGGACTTAAAGACAGGTTTACAGAGTGACACTGCCAGTGAAGCTGGCAGCCTTCCTCAGACAAGGCTTTTGTTAAACAAATGAACACAGGTGAAACCTACAGGAATCCACACTGCCCAGGCTCCAGACTTGTCCTCCTTTCCTAGGAGGCAGGATGAGGCTAAAATCTTGCATGGATCAGAGACACCTAATGGCTGTATGCTCACAGAATCAACTAGGTTGGAAAAAGACCTTCAAGATCATCCAGTCCAACTGTGCCCAGCACTGCCAAGGCCATCACTACACGATGTCACTGGGGGCCTCGTCTACATGGTTTGTGAACACTCAGGGACAGTGACTCCACCACTGCCCTGGGCAGCCTGTTGCAATGCCTGAGCACCCTCTGGGGAAGGAATTGTTCCTCATCTCCAGTCTAAACCTCCCATGGTGCAGCTTGAGGCTGTTTACTCTTGTTGTGTTCCATGTTCCTTGGGAGAAGGGCCCAGCCACTTTTCAGGTAGTTGTAGAGTGATAAGGTCCCCCTGAGCCTTCTCTTCTGCAGAGTAAACAATGCACTGATGGTGAAGGTAACCCCACCCAAATATTGCCCAACTGTTCCACACTCTCCTCCCCATTTATCCAATCCCAATCAACCCAGGGAATACAGTATGTTTTGTTACCTCCTGCTTCCGCACAGGTCATCTCACCTCTTGCTTATGTCCACCGTCTTTGCATCCATGGAGCTATCTCTCACAGAAAATTGACCGTGTTCAGTGATGTTGAAACACCCACTTGCTAAAATTCTGTGATGTGGGAAGATACTTGCAGAACAGGTAGAACTTAGCATACAATGCAGCATTGCCGTTGTTAGTCATCTCCGAACCCAGTGTCTCAGTCTCCATGGCTAGTCTTTTTAGACAGAAATCTAATTAAGCTCAGAGTAATCATAACATCACCAGACTGGGTTTGAATAAGCAAGTACCACTAAGTTTCATTCCCTAGGTTTCCATACTTCACCACTCTGGAGCAGCAGCGGTTTAAGCACTATGGAGATCTGTATTTCTTCAGCAGCAAGCCTGAGGTTTTCAGATATGGTTTTGGCTGATTTTCTTGAAGCTGATGGGTTGGTCATATTATTTGTAATCTGCAGTGGTGTTATGAAAACTCACACACACCATTCAGAGAAAATAAAGAGAAGGAAGAAAAAAGCTTTCCAGGTGTGCAGCATACAAAGCAACACTGCCTGACATTATCAAGGCTTAATCTGTGTCTTAGAGATTTGATTTTATGAAACAAGCTTCAAAAGTGACTTCTGTTTTCAGAACACTTATTCAAAAACTTATTTGGAGAAAAACCCCAACCAACACAAAAGCCTCAAAAACCCAACCCCCCAAAACCCAACCAGCGGCAGTTGGTTCCTCAAAAGGCCCAGCTTCAAAGTCATCAGCCTGCTCTTATAAAGGAACTTAGTCGCAGTAGCAAACGCTGTAACTTCACACTGGAGATCGTTCCACAGTGGTAGGCCCCTCGTCAGCTCAGACGCACAGTGATGTCAGGAGAGCTCAACGCAGTTGCAGCCTTGGCCTGCACAAAGCCTCACATCCTGATGTACAAAGCCTGTCTACTCTCTCACAGTTCTGCAGGAGTAGCCACTCTAAGTAGGTAAACTTTTCAGAACACTTGCTGTATTGGTTACAGTTCTGCTCCTCTTTTGATAAACCACTTAGAACCACAGACTGGTTTGGGTTGGAAGGGACCTTAAATATCAGCCAGTTCCAACCCCCTGCCATGGGCAGGGACACCTTCCACTAGACCAGGTTGCTCCAAGCCCCACCCAACCTGGCCTTGAACACTGCCAGGGATGGGGCAGCCACAGCTTCTCTGGGCACCCTGTGCCAGGGCTTCACCACCCTCACAGGGAAGACCTTCTTAATTTCTAATAAAAATCTACCCTCTGTCAACTTAGAGCCTTACCCTGTCACTACCTGCCCTTGTAACACCTTTTAACACTTCTGCTAAATGACCACTTGCCTGAGTATTTTAAATAGGTGCTTACAACAATTTTGGTTCTAATTCTTAGCGCACTTTTTCCAGTTGTTGCTGTAAGAAAACCCACAAATAGCAACAAGCCTGTTAACAGATACCTTTGAGATCAGCAAGAACTAAGCTGACTGAAACCCAGTCTGCTACATTCATTTGTTTATCATTTGCATTTCTCTCAGCTCAAGACAATGCAGATGTCATTTTGCTTTAGTTCACTAACTTCATTTTCAAAGCCTCAGTTCCACAACTGCTGTGTTTTTTTGTCTCAAAAATGACAAAAGAAGGATGATTTGATTGAACTTTTTTACTTGGTAACAGAAACTTTCCTATTGACTTCAGATTGTATAAACTATGAGGAGAAAAGCAGAGATTAATAAAGTTGACTTTGTCCTGGCTGGTCCACTCCAGTCACCAACAGCACAAGAAAAAACACATTCCCCCTTCCCCACTCCAAATTTTCTTCCCTTTTAGGGAGGGTGAACCTGATATAAAGAAACTAACCAAAGTTATTCAACAAAAAGTAT